TGAGTGACTGCGTTCATAACGGTTTTCTGTACAGAGCGGTATAACGGTGGTTTATTGTGATAAATATTGTCAAAAGAATAACATATAGTGTAACAATTTATCGACATTAAATACTCGTATATATAGAGGATCTGCACGAGTGTCCATGTCATATTGAATTTATTAAATGAGTTCCTTTAGGCGAGTGTCATATCAACTTATTGAACGCGTTAAATAAATTCAATATGACAAGGACAAGAATGTAAGATTCTATTTATCAAATAATTTGAAAAAAATAATTCAAATGCGATTATGTGTTATCAGCTGACTGTATATAGATAAAAACCATAGTACTCCAATCATAGTACTGTCGTTCCGCGCAGTACAAAATCGTACAATTTAATTTAAAATAATAAAAAGTTTAAAATGCAATGAAAACAATAATGATAACATAAACATTTTAAATCCATTTAGAATAACAGCTAATGTATCATGTGGTAAACTAAATAAAAGTAGTACAATTGTACCAAAGTGTCGTGGGAATAGGTTTCCACGGTTTTGACCAATCGCAGCACCTGTAGGTTTTATTACACGTGTGTATGACATAGTAACATTGGTCAGTTATGTGATAAACTGGTATACTGCAGCTTGTTTACAGCATGTTCAGTGTTATCTAATTATGTTGAATATTTCATTACAAGTAGAAAATATCAAAAATACTAATAGCTTTATTTCCAAATGACTTGGGACTATTATTTTAAAACAAAATGATCATATTCTATATTGCTCAATATATTTTGTTGACTCGTGTATTGCAATTTTATTTCATGATGATTGTTGCATCATTTTTTTAGACTCCGAACAAAATGGCAGCCTTGATTAGATAGGTAAGTACCAAAAAAAACTTTAAAAGCCATCATAAATTACTCCCTTTTTTTGACACCTCATTAAAGCAAGTAAAGAAATTATCACCCCCGATAGAAATTTCCCTTAATGTTTATGACAAACGACAACAAACTTGTAAGTCGTGTTTTTGGTAGTGATTGATAATAAAAGAGGAGATTAGTGGGTATCTGGGACTAGTCCTAGAGGTGGGAACGTTACTACTTACGATAGATTAGTGGATATCTGGGACTAGTCCTAAAGGTGGGAACGTTACTACTTACGATACACTAGTTGGTATCTGGGACTAGTCCTAGAGGTGGGAACGTTACTACTTCCGATAGATTAGTGGGTATCTGTAACTAGTCCTAGAGGTGGGAACGTTACTACTTCCGATAGATTAGTGGGTATCTGGGATTAGTCCTAGAGGTGGGAACGTTACTACTTACGATATATTAGTGGGTATCTGTAACTAGTCCTAGAGGTGGGAACGTTACTACTTACGATAGATTAGTGGGTATATGTAACTAGTCCTAGAGGTGGGAACGTTACTACTTCCGATAGATTAGTGGGTATCTG